CCACACTGGCTTGATGCACCTTGGTGCACCTACATAAATTACGTACTGTGTTCTACATGGTTGCATTTTTGGTTGATATTCTTGCTTAGTACTACTACTCGAGTACCAAATTTTTGCAACCGATGTTGCAAAACGGTCGAAGCAGTCAATCAGTACTTAAAATACGTAGGTTTTTACGTAGGCTATAACACGTCACTTAGCCCCACTCCATTTACCACCGTACTTACCTCCCCTACATAAATTCTGGTAGGAATTCTAYTGTGCAACCGTATTGGCTTTTCTGCTGTGGTCGCATCAGTACCTCTTTTGGTTGCTTAAGACAGAGCAAATTACACTGAGTATGCAACCCTTTTGCAACTCCTTTTTGCCTCGTCACGAKAGGTGCATTTTTTTGCTCACAAAATACGAAGAAACCAACGCTTGCTTTTGCATACGAGTACCGGTTCAAGCAAAACCCCAAGCAAGAAGAACAAGGAAGCAAATACTGTAAGTATCGAAAAACAGCAGCACAGCACACCAGCAGCAGTACACAGCCCCCTGACTCACGAGAGGTGCCTTTTTTGCTCACAAAATAACAGCAACGCTCGCATACGAGGTTCGCATACGAGGTTCGCATACGAGGTTCGCATACGAGGTTCCTCGCATACGAGTATCGAGTATTGGTGCATAGCTACGAGTACTACGGTTCAAGCAAAACCCCAACCAAGCAAGAACAAGAAGCAAGCATCGAAAACTACTACTAGTAGTAATGGTAACAGCACAAGCGCAAGAACGCACTGCTGGTCGTCGGCCCCGAGCTCGGAAAAGAAGGGGGGGGGGGCTGTAACGCCTCCACGAGACGTGAACCAGCCAGAGCAATGGGATAGATACCATAAGATTCTATTGGAGCTAATGGATCATGTACATGGAAGAGTGGATGAAGGAGGAGACAATGGGGATAATCGATTTCCAAATGATACCGTTTTCACTGAAGAGCAGTTGAGTATTCTAACACCGGATCATATCTACAGGTTTTTTGCAAAGAAAGTCTTTGGGAGGGAGGATCCTGGAGTGGATGATAATCTTACTGAGGGAAGGAGTTCAACCCTTGTTTATTACAAGAAGGCGTTATCCTATTTCATGCCGAATAAGCTGCACAAATGGACTGTCGTTGCTGGCGTTGGCAGTGGTAATCCTACTAAGTCCCAGCAAGTGAATGATCTTATTGCAGCTGTTATCAAGAAGAAGGAAACTAGAGGACTTGGACAAGCAAGCAAGATGGATTGACCTCTTACAAAGGATGAGTTCATGCAAACACTCGAACTAATGGGAAACCATGGACATCTCATCAAACGACTCCGATATCTTGCAATGATTAAGTTCCAGTTCCATCTGATTGGTCAAAATGATGATACAGCTCATGTTGGAAAGGACAGCTTGGAAAGATCTGCTGAGTTTCCTAAATTCCTTACAGCAAAGATSAAGTGGTCTAAGAATGTAAGGGAGGAACGTGATTGCCCAAGACAGATCTTGTTAGGATCGATGGATGAAAAGGCGTGTGTTGTGCTGGGGCTTGCTTTGTATCTTGAAAAGTGGTGCAAAGGTGATGGAGCAGGAAGCCAATGGTTATTCACTGAAGGAACTACAGATAGTAGATCACMACAAAAGGATGTTGCGAAAGAGGTGAATAAGGGGAAGACTGCATACTCTAATTTCATCAAGCGCCATGCATTTAAGAATCCTGTCTTTGTTGCTGAAAGACCTCTATCAGAAGGGAAGCTCGGTACTCATTCCATTCGGAAGTTCGGTACCACCTATGCCAGACAGTGTGGTTGCTCACG